GCTCACTGCCAAAACACCCAAGCACTGTGCAGTTTCTTTTCCATAGTTCTTTGGCACTAACACAGCTTCTTTTCTTACGAAGGAGTAAAGGAAGAAAACAAATCTCAAAAGATTTAAATTCACAGCCCAGTTCCACCACTTGCTAGCTGTATAACCTTGTAGAAGGTAGATGACCAGCCAAGTTCTGACTCTCCATAATAACAGCTCCCTTTATTAAGTACTTATTACATGGCAAGGCACTGAGTTAAGGGTCTTATACCATTTTTTTTGAAGTCTCACAAGAACCCTATTAAGGGGATATTATTGTCTTTATTATACTGCTGCGAAATAAAACTCAGAGGAATCACTCGAGGTACTTCAAGTCACACAGCTGGGAAGAGGCCACATCAGCATTCAAACCTAGATCTTCTGGCTCCACACTTACCTCCCAAAGTTGATATGGGAATTGAAAGACAAAGGAGGGAGGCAATGCCTTCCGCAACACTGGCATTTGGTAGGTGGCTGTTCCTCAATAAGTTTAAACTATTTCTGGCAGAGGCACCAAAGGAACATTATTTTCTCAAACTGTTCAAGAGATGCACAGGAGGGAAAGTGGAGGAGCCAGCTGCTGCTTTGAGGAGTGAAGCCCGGGAACATCAGCTTTTAGCATTTGCTGCAGGACTAGAACTTGCACTCCCCTGGCAATCTGCCTTGAAGTAAGACGGCTAATGAGGATGAGCGAGGGTGGGTGTACAACAGCACATCTGCTGCTGCCAGCCACGCTTTCATTTAAATGCTCAGGCTGACAAAGAGTGCCGGGGGAGAATTACCCACTTCCAACCCAGATGAAGAACCCACTTGCAAAGCATGGGCTGCACAGTGCTGAGAAGACAGATCAGGCTCGGAGGCTTAGCAGGCCAAGCAAAAGCTGCAGTGAGAGCCAACATGCCAACAAAGCAACGACAGACACAGACAGGCGAGATCGGGTAGTGTGTGTGTGGGGGGGACAATTCCCTGTTACCTACACATGACAAAAGCACCCACAGAAATAGAAAACTGTCCTGATTTAAATGAAAAATAAGATTGATTGCTGGTCCCACCTATCAGGTGCTGGTGCTGAACAATCAATTACAACATTATTCTTAGGTTAAATGCTTAATTTTAAAAAATCACTGTAAAAAGAATGCCTTAAAATTTCCATACACTGGTAATGAGTTTTCAATTCTCCCAAAAACTAGGCTCTGAAAGGGTGGGAGAACAAGATTCGTTTGAGGGAGCCCTCAGCTGACAGGTCATGACATTGAAGACTGCTGACAGGAGGCCCCGTTTCTCTTCACCTTGCTAAGGAGGAAGGCAAGGCAAGAGTATCTTCATGGGGATGAGAAAGGAGAGAGCGCGGGCTGACTGCAGGCTCTGTTTCAGAGACAGAAAAGAGACACTTCTACAGAAGCGTTCATTAAATGGCTCCATTAATTCTGTCGGGCATGAGCTAATAGATGTTGATTACAGCGGCTTGGGTGTGTGTTATACAAATGAACCCACAGGGGACAGCTAATGCTGCACGGTCACCACCTGTCATATTCTAGTGCCTTGCATTTGGAAAAGGGTTAAGAGTGGCTGGCTTAGTCCTTAAAATACCTGAGTGGGAGTCAATAGACTTGAACACCATTATTTCAGATCTGACTCACTGTGGGCAACTTTAATTTCCTATTTGCAGAAACCATTCTCCAACACATGATAGATCCTATTTATTCAATTTACCACCTCCGTATCTGTCAGATGTTACTGAAGTCCAGAGGCTCTGCAAATACTGGTCTTCCCCACAGACTTGGCAAAGCTATGCTTTTTCAATTATGGTCTTAAAATGCCATTCAATGTTTGTCTCGGTAACAAATTAATAGGCCAGTGATGGATTGTTAAAAAGACTTAAAGTGCTGAAGGCAGGAAAAAACTGTCAAAGTAGGTGTCCGTCAGATGACGATCTTACCACAAAACAGTTTCACACCAGCCAATCTTCCCTCTCAGTGGCCGTGACGAAACAGTTCATCACCCTCATTCGAAAAGATGTATTTAATGCCTTCTTGGTTCTATGGGGGTTTTCAGAAGCTCAGTAACCCAGCCAGTCCTCAAGAGATCACATTAGAAGATGGAAAGTGGCGTACAGCTTGTGTTTCTGTCACATGGAGGACTAGGAAGGAGAATGACTACGGGTTAACAGTAAATAAGCATTATACAGATTCCTGTCTGTAGCTCCACTTTCCTAAAGTTCCTCCACCTTACATTTTACCAGTAAGGACTATAGATTTTCCTGTCTAGCCAACTCATTATTGTACAAAAAAGTTACATATGGTATTAATGCATTTCTTGGTACTGTAACAGAATGAAGGTTTTGTTTTTGTTTTTGAGGTTTTGTTTTTTTTTTTTTTACAAGTCTACATTTAGAGGACACAAGATAAACTGAAGACAATATTTATACATCTGCCAGGGCTGTCTGTCTCTTTAATAACAATCACAGCCTATTTCTCCTACTTCTTTCTTCCTTTATTGTTGTTATAATATTTGTGCAATCCATAAAAACCAGGAAAAAGCCCAAAAAGAAATCTGGTCTTCTTTTAATCCCATGTTTTTATAACAACAAATTAACAGAGAATGAAATCACCGTAAGCCTAGACAGATGAGCAAGCCCTCCAAATCAGCAGCCTTTCTCTCCTCAAGCACCCTGCTACTCAATGAAACAAAGAGTCTTCTTCCTAAATGGCAATATGTGACCGATTTATGGATAATGAGATAGAAGTCTAGCCTCTTAGACACCCTTGATCCATTCTAATTCCTCCTTCCCCTCTGATTTATCTCCAAAGAGATGATTCAGTAGATCGATGAGAACTTTGGCAGGCAGTGCACTTTAAGAGTGGCTCTGATGTTTGCGAAGAACTGTGTGGCAGAGTCCAGACTCCCAGGTCACTGCGGGGAAACAACCCCCATCCGTGGTCTCTCTCCGCTCCGCTCCTTCCATACATTGCTGAGCAGACCTTTCTTCCTGTAATAGATAGCTGCTGGCTTGCTGCCCAGCCTTGAAGCAGCCTGCTTCCAGCAACAATCCTCTCTTCATTTAGAAATTCATTCCTCCCGTGCTGTCATTCAACGTGGTTTAGTTGGTGCTGACCCCACCCCTGAGCTGGAGAAACAGGGTATGAATCTAAACTAGGCCTACGTCGCTTGGCACACAGCATTCTTCTGGTTACGAACACCAGTCCTGAGAAGTGCCCAGTCATCTCAGCTCGGAGCTGGGTCATTACTGAAGCCACTGGGAATGTGGATGACCTTTAATCCCCTAGACCTGGGCCTTCAAAGATGTGATCCTAGAGCTGCTGCAACCATCCTATCACCGTAAGGGGAAAGCCTGCCTGAGAAAGGAGCCTACCCAAAAGATGGAGAAAAAGAGATACACAAGAGACCAGTTATATCATCTGAGCTGTTGGATCTAGCCATGCCTAAAGTGGGGCCTATCCCTGGACATCCAGTTCCACCAATTTGGGATGGGTTTCCCTCTTGCTGGCAACTGAGAGCCCCAATAGATCTGTTTCTCATGTCGCTGATTTGCAGACATTACCATTCGTGTTCAAAATGATGAATAGCTTACTATTGGCTAAAATACTTGAGCCTGGCACTCAGGCTATCCACAAGATAGTCTCAACTTTCTTCCTCACCTTTATTTTATATTCTACCTTAAAAGAAGCTCTTCTGCCAAACTGGTACATTCTTTGTCCCCTGATTACTCACCTTTGAAATGCCTTTTTTTTCTCTAAGAAATAACTCAAGTCTCCACCACCTCAGGTCTCAGGATATCTCCTTATCTAATTTTCATCACTCATTATCTTGAGTTTTCCTTCGACGTTTGTTGTCAGCTACCTACTGCTCTCATTCTTTAACCATTGTTTAATGGCCATTTCATGTGCTGAAGAGTCATGATATCAGTTCCTAAGGAGCCTGCAGACGAATGGTCAAATCAATGACCAGTTACACACAGAATATTACATAATTATAATAAAGGTAAGCAGCCGAAAAATAAAATCAAATACATAAAATAAAATGGCAAGCTTTTATAATAAGGCACAATAACCAAAAACTAATTTAAATATTGGGAAGATAGGAAAGGCCTCCCTGAAAAAGTGACCATCCATGCACAATGAGAAGGACAGTGTGTCTGGAAGGAGGCAAATGGGTGAGAAGTGCAGGGAGCTGGAGTTAAAGTCAGCAGGGGCAAATTACATGGACTGTTCGGGCCTGGGAATGACCCTAAACCTTAATCTGACTGGCAAAGGCATTGGGGATTTTCGGCAGGCAAGTGGCCTGACCAGCTTTGTGCTTAAAAAGATCACTCTTGTTGCCATGTGAAAATGGATTAGGAGAGAGTTAAGAGACAGCCTGTTAAAGTGGCACAGGGAAAGGATGATGATAGCTTGAACTTCAGTGGCATCAGTGGAGATAGAACTGGGTAGATTTCAGTTATACTTTGAAGCTGTAGGACAGTGACTTACTTACTCACTGTGGGCAGGGATGATATGACAGACGGGAGACTGCAGAGATGATTCCAGATACCTACCTTCGGCTGCTTCATGAAGACAGGCCACATTGGAGATAGAGCAGGTTTGGAGAAGGAGGCTTATTTTAGTAAGTTCAATGTGGAGGATTAAATGTAGAGTAAGTACATTTATTGAAACAGTTGGATATATGGGTTTGGAGTTTAAAAGAAAAGTCTAGATTCTAGATATACATTTAGGAGTCTTTGTAGAGGGTATTTAAAGCCATGGGAGTGGATGAATTTACCCAGGGAGAGTATAAAGTGAAAAGACCTGGACCACACTTTAGAGAACCCCACATTTTAGAGGCTTACTCGTTGGGATAGAGGCAGCACAGATGAAATGTAGATATCCCTAACATCCCAGAAAACTGAAATTACATGAGACAAGGATTCCTGTCACACTTCTGATTTCTTTGAAAAGACAATGTTTGTTGTTGTTTTAACCTTTGTTCCAAACTTTATTCCCAGGCTTCTTCAGCTTAATTAGCTGCAAAGAATGAACGGCGTATAAGCAAAAACTGAAAAGAGCTGCAGTGTCCAAGGAGCTTAGGCTTAAAATATTAGAGATCTCGATTTTATCAGATCCATACACAAAACAGAATTTTAAAAAGCAATCATAATATAAAATAGCAGCTCCCAGGAACTTCGTCAAGTTTATCCCTTTCAGAAGTTGACTCAGTTCCGTGTGCCTCATTCTTGGAAGCCTCATCAAAATTCTCCACGAGATCTGGAACTTCCTCCTCCTCCTCTCCAGCAGCAAGTGGTGCTTCTCCATCCACAGTGTCTGGGCAGAGCTTCAGCCGGTCTCCTTAGACTAGTCAGACCATCTGCCCCGAGCTGGTTTAAGATGCTGGGGAGCATTTCCATCAACTGCTTTGTCTCAGCACGGCCCGTAACGGTGAAAGTATTCGCTGCCAGAGATGCCTGAACTTTGGGTTGTTAAAGTGGATCGCTGTTCCCTGGTTTGGAAACATATTCACTTCTTCAATACCAGAGATATTGTTTACTCCTAACTTCTTTAAGGAGAACTGAAGTTTCTTATCATCTGCTGTAGCTGTTCTATAAACCACCTTCTTCTTTCTGCCAACAGTTCCTTTCCCACCAATGCACACTTGTGCCTGCAGCTTGGCAAGTTTTTCCTGGTTCATGATAGTTTCTTTCATCTTGTCAGAGCGGAAAAGGGGCCGTGCGGAGGACTAGGGTTGGCGCTCAGGAGGTCTCAGGCAGACCAGCTGAGATTAGGCACACACTTGCGGGGACGCAAGATGGCAGCTAGCGAAAAGATGATGTTTTGAACCTGTGTTATAGAAATATTTATGAAGTACACCAAATGGAGAACAGAGCACTGGACCGAGGGTCTAAATATGTGTATTCTAAAACTTTGTAATTCTGGGCTAAAAGGAAAGCCTTTAGTTCACACTCATAATTTAACTGTATGTGGCAGGTTCTCATTCACTCAACTACTATTAAATAGAACCTACAGGCACAAATACTGAGTAACGGTGAAAACAAAATATGAAGGAGTGGAGGGAAGGAGAGAAGAGTGCATCCCATCTTTAGTTACTTCATTCTTACTACATGCCTACATGCCTATAAGAAACACTCCTATGGGGGGCCAGAAGATGATGTAATGGTTACATCGCTGGACTCCCACATAGTTGACTGCGGTTTGAGTTCCAGACATGGCAACTTAAACTCATGCCAGGTGCATGTGCATGCATACCCAAGATCCTGAGAAGAGGTGTGGCCAACCCCCTTGAGGGGTGATTTCTCATTTTCTGTCTCTCTGTCTCTTTGTGTCTCTCTGATGAATGCATGCACCCAATAGCAAAAATCTGTTAAAAAATTTAAAAATCCTATGAAAGATAGGTTTTTTACAGATAGGTGAAAGTTTGAAAAATTGAAGGTCACAAAGTTTCAATCACACAGCCAATGAGCAGTGGGACCAAAATTCAGACTCAAGTCTGTTTATCTCCCAAACCTCTGCTTTTTCATCTACTGCATCTTGGCCCCCCATGCCCCACTCAACAATTCGTAATCTTACATGAAAGTTGACTAGCAATGTAAAGTGGTCTATGATTAAACATCAGAGCTGTGGTCCATGAATGCTAGCTTAGAGAAAAGGATGGGATTAATATGATACAGATGAGGAGGGTCTGGTGGACTGGCTGGTTCTCAGAAAAAGGATAAGAGTTGGAAAGCAAGATCACAGATCAGGACAGCAAATCCCAAAGCCACACACCAGCAGAAGAAGCAAAATTAAGCTTCAGAAACTCTCTCTTCACATGCCTCACACAGATCCTTTGAGAATACATTGGGTCTTCAAAATATCCATGAAAAATGTGCTTATAAAAAAGTATGCACGGATTTCAAAGTTTTTTGCACCAAAATGAACTCATACTTTAATTCCATTCTCCCCACTCCCCCAAGTTTGTAGAAATCTCGTATGTCCCCAGAGTCAGGTGGCATGTCTATGATGATGGATACTGAACCAGGAGCAGGCAGAGCAATTAAATTCTTTTTTATGACAGCTAAGAGTCTGGAAAACCATGTAACTTTCGCTCTAAACTTGGTGTTCACTGAAAGACATCAAGCTGATTACAAGTAAAATAATATGGCCACTAAATATAATCAAATAAAAGATGTTATCTGTGGAGACTCAATATTTAACTCTACCTGTATCAGATCCCTTACATTCTTTCCTAACAATACCATGAGATTCCTTAAAGAAGGGACCATATCATAGTTTTTTTCTCCAGACTAGAGGGCTTAAGCCACAGTACTTTGTCCATGTCACTGACTGTGCAAATGTTTTATAAGATATATATTGTAACATTTGTCCAGGAACAGAACAATGTGCCTTGTGAAAGAAAATAAGAAACAATGATAAAGCCAAGGCTCCTCGCTCCCCCATTTACTGGGCTTTTATCAACCAAAGGAGTAAGGAAGGGAAGGAGCCAGATGTTCCATTTTCAATATTGGCACTTTCCAACCTCCCAAATTAATTAGTAAATTGATATACATCCCGTAATTGCCAGAGATCTACACTGAGAGCAGCTGCAAGTTACCAACTCATTTTAATCTCTTGGAGGGAAGTAGTAAAGATGCACAGCAAGGCAAGGGCATTATTACAGTCTCACTGAGTCCATCTTATTCTAAGTTATCCAGTGACTAATTGGATCTATTTAAAAGAAATCTGGCCAGGAAAAAGCAAAGCTTGACCTCTTTCTTGATAATAATAATAATAACAATAATAATAAGAAGCTACAAATAATTATATAAGCCTCAGGCTTTCATAAGAGCTCACATTTATAACATGCTTAACAGCATGCCAAGAACTTTCACTTCACTTTCATCATGTTTGATTTCCCCATGATAACCTTGCAAATAAGAAACACTTAGTACAGTGTTCCCTTAAAGTCCGGGCGGGAACTGTTCATCCCATTTCACAGATGAGAACCCAGGCTCAGAGAAGTAAACGTAAACTGTCTAAGCTATCTCCAGGCTCCCACAGGGATCCGGCTCAGATTGCTCATCTGTCAAATGTGAGCATGGGTTGAGCTATTTAAGGTCTGGTGCATTCTACCAGTCTAGGAAGTTCTACAGAGCCAGCTGCGGATCCCAGCGCTCTGCAGTTCCCACAACGACGTCCCTTTCAGGGTTCGAGCTGCCCAGGCCCGTTCTTGGTCCCTACGCTCCCACCCTTCTGCCACGCTCGCCCTCCGTGCCCCGCCTAGTCCCGCGGCCCCTCTCGGCCACCGCCTTCGCTCGCCCACCTCGACAGCCATGTCCGCGGGTGGGGCGAAGCCAACCTGACCCTCGGTTTGCTGCGATCTTGGGCTACCCTAGATTGGCGCGAACCCGAGCTCTAGATCTGACTGAGCCACTGCGCTTGCGCATGAGTTTCTTCCATTCCTGCCGGATGGGAACCCAAGTGGTGGACTTTAGTTCCGGAATCAAGCAGAGCCGCCCTGCTGGAAGTTGAGTGTTAATGGAGCTCTGTTTTAGAGCTTGTCCAGGGCTGCTTTTCTCTCTAACTGGCTTTGAGAAGAGCAAACTAACAACAGACAGACTTTCATATTGCCATTCCAAATTGCCAGTTAGGAAAAGGAGGTCAAACTCTTAGCCAAATGGTAGTACCTGGAAAGGCAGGTTAAGAGCCAGATAGCTGGGTTCCAAGAATTCCGCTACTTACGACCCGGGTGACCTGGATAGATACTCACGTATTTTACTGGACTAACATGCTATCAATACCACACTTGAAATAGTTTTTTTGATATTGTTAATATATGATTGCAAGATTTTCCCTCCCTCTCCTCCTAATTACCAAGATGTCTTCTTTTCATTACCTGAGCATTGCACCATGTCTCCCAATCTCAGATGGTGAGACTTTTTCCACAAGGAGATACTGTATGTGTCTTAGAGTGTACCCATAATTTTGATGAATTAAGAAACTGAGGTGCAGGATCAGCAGATGGTATTCATAGATACGTTGCTGGACTCCCACATCGTTGACTGCAGTTCGAGTCCTGAACCTGGTGGCTTAAAACTCATGCTGTGCATGTGTGCATGTGTGCCCAAAAATCCCCAGAGGAGTGGAGGAGAAGGGATTGTGGTGTGTGCATCCCCCCTTGGGGGTGATTTCTCATTTTCTGTCTCTTTGTCTCTCTGGCAAGTGCATGCACTCTATACCAAAAAATCTCTTTAAAAAGAAAAACTGAGGTGCAGTTGTCACTCAACAACTCAATATTTGAATGGTGGCTCTCCCAACACTATCTTAGTTCATACAAAATTTCCAATTAGCAAAAAAGCTTTACTTTTATCTTTGGGTCTGTGATCTGACTTTCTACAATTCCTTTAGCAGGTTGAGAGAGAGAGAGAGAAGAGAGAAATCTTCCATTCCTGTATGCATCTCCCTTTGCAACGTGTTTGCTGAATTTCTAATCAAGAGATGGAGTCTGTTTCTCTACCTCCTTAAATCTGTGCTGGCCTTGTGACATGCTTTAACCAAAGAATGCATCAGAATTCCCACTGTGGAAGTTCTGATTTGCCCAGGCCTGAAGAGTTTTCCAAGGTAGTTCCAGGCAAAGTAGTATGGCTGGTCACCTTACTTGCTGCCCTGGTACTAGTATCACCCTTGACAATGAAAATCAAGGGAAGTGATTGGAGTGGACATCCAGCACCATCTGTACTGGACTCAACTGGCCCCTGTCCCGTCACCAGGTGATGGCAACCTCATGAGTTAATTCTGGTGTGGCCAGCAGAACTGCCCAGCCAAACTTCCCCCAAATTGCTGTCCTACTGAATCCCAAGCAAACAAAATGGTGGTTTTCTTAAGCCACTCTAGCGTTGGAGTGCTTTGTTATATAGCAATAGATAACTGATACCACCCCTTAATTACAGGCGACTATGCTAAAAACCTAAGGAATAGACTCCAACACCAAGAGAACAAATGTCCCTTTCACTATCCACTTAGAAGAATTATTTACTGAGCCAGTCAGTGGCATGGTGGTTAAGGCAGCTAGATCCCCCATGGCCAACTCTGCAGTTCAGTCTTGGACCCAGTAGCTTGAAAAACACACTGGACATGTGTGCGTGTATGCCCCAAACCCTAAAATGCCAAAGGGAGAAATGGAGAAGGGATTGAGGCACGGCCACCTCCCATGGCAGGTGTTTTCTCATTTTCCCTTTCCCTTTCTCTCTCTTGCTCCCTGACAATTTTTTTAAAAGAATATTTATTGAGTGCTTACTATATACAGGAACTGTGTCGAGTGTTTAGCATCCGGCCATGAACAAGAGAGACTAGTAGTCTGCTCAATAGTTGTTTTGTTTTTTTTTTTTTCAGTTTCTAGACAGTTTGGGATACAGATATTAAATAAATCATTAGAAATTATAGGGTGATTTGAACATCAACAGGATTAAATTAGAGTAGAGGAGTGTAAAAAAGCAAAGCTTTTTTTAAAAAAAGAAATGGCATTTTTAAGAATTATTTTTTATTTAACTTTATTTATTTCTTTTAATTTGACCAGACAAAGAGAGAGAGAGGGATAGTGAGACAGCAAGCCTCTAGGTCTAGGACTTGAACTGTGGTCCACCATGTGGGAGTCCAGTGCCTTTAACCACCACACCACCTGCTGGCCCCAAGAAATGGCATTTAAGCCCAGTTCTGAAGTAGGAGTTATCCAGGTGAAAACTGGGCTGCCATGTGTTCCAGGTAAAGGGAGCAGCATATGAGAAGGCCTTGGGGCAGGGAGGAGCCTGATGAGGAAAGGCGAAGGAGCTGGTGGTCAGTAGCCAGGGAAAAGAGGCAGAAATGGGACTGGGGGTGCAGGCAGAGCCCAGGCCTGCAGAACCCTGAAAACACATTGAAGCTAAAAGGCACCTACAGGCCATCCAGCTCTTCAAAATATGTCTAACTGCACCCTGCCTTCTCCTAAAGACACATTACAAGACCATCATTGTGTATAAAAAGGTGAACAAACTGCAAGACAAAATGCCTAAATCCATTTCAGCAAAGAATTAAACCTCACTAGCCTAGGTTTTCTTATTTATAAAAGGAAATAATCATTCATATGCAGTACTACGTCTGTTCAGGGTTGGGATGAGTATTATTAAGTGGGTTAGTATGGGAAGGAGCTGTATAAAATGGCATGTATCTCATGAAACTTAAGGACTATGATATTGAGGTGCTGGTGTGCCCGGCCCCTTGTATTTGGTCACGTGTCATATCTGGCCCCATTTATGCTACCTGGGAGCAAGCATGTCTATGCTTCACCACACCTTTTACTCTGTTCATGGATTTTCCCTATCCCACGCTAGAAATTGCTGTCCTGCTTTGTTATTGATCTAACCGATTATTAATGCACTGTCTAACTTCTGTGTTGTACTATTTTTCCTAGAGTTCTTCAGTGTTCACTGAAAAACTAGCATTTCATCATCCGATTATATATTCACTCAACAAACATTTTTGTGCATGTGCATCTGCCTCAGGAACGGCCCTAAACACTGAGGACCCATCATGAACAAGACAAAGTCACTGCCCTCTGGTGGAAGAGACAGAGACCAAAACATACCACTCTGTAAATGTAACGTCAAGTAGAAATAGTGACAAGTGCCGTCCCCTGGAACAGGGGCCAGGGGCTCCTATTTTAAACAGCAGTGTTATGAATGAACTAGTTACCAAGGATGAAAAGTGATGTTGTCCAAGTTTAGGAGAAGCCAGGAGGCTGTTCTTCCAGCTCTTCTTTCACTGGCTTGACTCCTTGATTCCCAGAGATGTTGGGCATTTACTGGTGCAGCGTATCACTCTGGCAGGTGAGAGGAGACAAGATAAACTCGTCATGGATCTGTCCCCAAAGGGATTACTGAAGAGCTGACAGCGTCACAAAGTGCACACTCTGACGCACATGATTTTGTTTAGTGTCGTGCAAGAGTAGGGAAGTGCGCAGGGGTCCGTTACAAAGCCAGCCTTCCGCCACCACGCCTGGCCACCCTGAGCTGTCAGTGTGGTCACACTCAGAAACTCCTGACTTCCTTCTTTGTATTTTATTTTTTAAGTTTCCATTTATTTATTTCTTCCATGAGTGAGAGGGGTAGAGAGAGAACTCACCCCACAAAAGGTCTTTATACTACAATCCAACCCCAGCTTCAGCAAGCCTCAGACCTTGGGCGCATGTGCATCCCATTTCCAGGGAAGTCTCCAGACCCAAACTCCATCCTTCCCACGTGGGTCAGTCTTGCAGACTACTGTGTTTTACGCTGCCCCACTGTCCAGTCCCTGATGTCTTTCAGTGTTGCAAATGTTCATACCCTTCCTGCCTCAGGACCTGTGCTCATTCTGTTCCCTTGGCCTAGAATGCTCCCCATCTCTTTCTTCATCAACTTAACTTTCTCCGAGATGTTATTTCTTTAGGGACCCCTGCCTGGGATGCTCATACTAAGGCTATCAATTAATAATGATGCTACATAACAAATGGCCCCTCACATCTCAGTAACTTACAGCGATATGCATTTCTTGAATTTGCAAATGCCCAGGTTAGCTAGAAGCCAGATAAGCTGGGTTGGAATTGGCCGTGCTGTGCTGCTGAACTCAGCAGGGCTCTCTCACTCATCCTTAGGGCTGGGGCTCAGCAGTTTAGGTCCCTGGACTCAGCTCAGCTGGGATGGCTCTGCCCCACAGCCTCCCATCCTCTCTCTGGGGGCCAGTGGGGGCTGAGGCAGGTATTCAAGGTGATGCTAAGAGGACAAATGAGGACATATCCAGACCTGTGAAGGCCTGTGCTGGGGACAGGCCCTCTGTCACCTCTACGTCACCCTACTGGCCAAAGCCAGTTCCATGGCTAAGCCCAAAGTCAAGGAGCTATGGGAATGTACTTTGCTACTATGGAAGGAACTTCAAAGTCACATGACAATTATGAGGTTCAAAGATAGGTACAGAACTGAAGTCAATGACAAAATTTACTGCCATCAGTTCCCCATTATACCACCTTCAAGCATTTTGAGCTTTATCACAGGACTCGTTACACATAAAGGAGTGTTACAATATATGTATTTGCAAGGGCACTTCAAACACTGATGGAAAAATGGAATTTAAGTATGGGTTTAGGGCTAGCCAGGTAGCATGTAAGTTAAGGCAGCTAGCTCTCACACGGTCAACTGTGTGGTAAGAGTCCCAGACCCAGTGGTTTGAAAAACACGCTGTACATGTGTATGTCCAAAATCCTGAGAGAAAAATGGAAGAGAAGGGATTGTAGTGTGCCCAGACCCCTGGGAGGTGATTTCTCACTTTCTGTCTCTTTTTTTCTGTTTCTCTATCTGTCTTTTGTGAGTTCATGCAACGTATAGAAAATTAAAGTATGAAAG